GCGTCATGGTTTGGCCCGAGCTGTTCACGCACATGTGCTCAGTGTGGAGCAGGCATCGTGTCGGGTTACGGTGCAGCCATGGCTTCCTGCTCCACACCCGGCAACTACTATGGTGAGTGGACGGAGAGATTCGACTAGTGCGTCCCTAGTCCCTCGGTTGGGCAAGAAGCCGTGAGCTGGTGTCGCGATGCGAAACTCTCCGCCTACTGAATGGCGGTGTTCTCCACCAGCACCCGGAGGTTTCGGTGGATTGCCTGTTCCTGGGGGTCGGTAGGCTCGGAGAGGCCACGCAAAAGCATTGCCGTAGCAGCGATGTTCTGGCCAGCCTGAGCAAACTGAGGGGGTCGTCCCCTCCGTCCAGTATGTTACGCTAGACCTGACGGACATGACCCCGAGCGCCGCTCACCGGGTTACGCGCATGTGGCGGAGCATGATGCACCGGGCGCTCCGGCGTAGGCGGGGACCGGCTCTGCCCCCTTTGTCGTAACTCCTCGCTGTGCTGCTGCGTACGTGCCAGGGCCTACGCATGGGGGACCGGAGGGGTGTGAGTCTGTAGAGACTCCACTACCTCTGGTGGCTGTCCTAGGGCGTCTGCCATAGTGCACTACTGGGACAGAGGGTGGCCAGGTGCCATGACATCGCCGATGCTGGAGCCATCGCTTTTGACCTCATCATCAATGAGGTCATGGAAGGAGGTGGGAGCGTAGCCCGCTATCCCCATGAACTTGGACATGAGAGGGGGCGGCGACAGCATCCTTCGAAGTCCCCGCGCGCACGCGTCCATGGGAGACGCGAAGCCATAGGGGAACCGGTCGCACGGCGGTCGCGGTAGGGACAATGGGGTCCCTCCAGAGAGTTGGCGGAAGGTGTTAAATAGTGTGTAAAGATCAAAATGTACACCACTCACCATGGGGTTTGAGCCCAGCATAGGCTGGAGGCGAAGCGCGGGTGTCTCGACGTTGAGGTCGTCGAGTGGCCCGGGGCCAGTGGAGGGCGCTCCTCCTCCAGTCGGTGCCGGGACAAGCACTTCCTTGCAGAGGTGCAGTACGCCGAGCTGGTCGGCGACAAAGTCTAGACTCCCAAAGAGGAAGGTCTTGAGTGGCACGAAGACCAGAGGAGCCCACATCCTAGCAAGTGGGAGTGTGGGAAACTCCAGCGAGCCGAAGCGAATCGTATCGCTCGAGCCCACCATGCCGAAGACGGTGGAAAGGTGGGCCATCCAATGACCAAAAGCGTGAACGCACGGCGTCCTCCCCACGGACGGCGCCAACTGTCGATGCGAAATGTGGCCAACAAGTAAATATTTGTAGTTTTGCCGTGCGTTGTGATCGGATGTGGCCTAGCACTCAATGACACAGGATTTATACTAGTTCAGGCAACAGGCCCTACATCCAGCTAAGGTCGGTCGGTGACTTTATTCCTGAGCCCAGGTGCTCGAAGTTTGCTGTGGGGTGACAAACGAGTAAGGAATGAGAAGGGGGTGTTAGAGGCCCGATCGGACTCTGAGCCGAGTGGCAGAGAGTGACGGATGCTCAAACGTGCGCTAAGTATCAGAGCGTATGCTCTGGGTGTCTGAGCTTATCAGCTATTGAGAGCGTGTAGACTATGTAGCTATCGAGCTCTAGAGCCATTGTGATGTTGTCCTCGAGTCCTCGAGTCTTCGAGTCTTCCGAGCTTCGGAGGGTTCGAAGCTACTGTCCTTTTGGTAGGAGAGAGCGCATCCCCTTTTATAGTTGAAGGGGATGGCCTTACAAGTCAGAGAGAAAGAGAGAGTTCATACGGGTGTTGTCTAGTCTTGTTGCCCACGTCATCGGGTATGGGATGGTCGTCGGCGCCCATAATACTATTTATGTTTAGACGCGTCTGGCAGGCTCTACCATGTTCGCCTGGTACCACAAACGATGACGCCCACAATATTGTTTATGCTCTGACGCGTGTGGCAGGCTCTACCGTGTTCGCCTGACATGCCCCGATGGCACCGTCCTGCAGGTGCGTAGGGCATGGCAGGATACGGTCCTCAATATTGCGGTTGACTTGAGCGCCTTACCTTATTTGCTCCGCCTGCTCCCTGGACCCACACAGAGCGGGCGTCCCCGGTCAGTCGTTCTCAGTCGGCCCCGACCGTGCGGTCGAGAAAGAGCAGTGAGCAGAGGTCTGGTGTATCCTCGGTCGGAGAAAGTGGGTCGGAGTCGGATTGCGGTCCCACCTCGGCCAAGCCTTCCAGTCGGGAACCGGGTCATTGTCTTGGCCTGTCATTATGTATCTAGGCCGGCCCAGGCGCGTGTTGTCGCTGCACTGCCTGTCGGGCCAGGTTTTGCAGGGAAACGGGTCCATTGGAGACCCCGGGTTTATGAACCCGACACCATTTTATGCCATCATAGAACTTAAGAGTGCAATCACTATATAAAACCCTTGTTTTCAATAAAATATGTTAATAAAAGATGTAATAAGCACAAGTTTCAACTCAATTTGAGGATAAATATATGTAGCTACAAATAAGATTAAAATTTGAAAATCAGAATCTAGATTCGTGACATCACACGGCATAAGCCCCAATAAGTGCCACCATACTTTAAACTAAGGTTCCAACTAAATGGACATCGAAGATACACGTAGGTGCATTCGGAGGATAAAAAACTACGGATGTGTATGAGAAACATAAATATATAGAGATACAAAGAATCTATAAGGCTATTATTGTGTTAGAAAATAAAAAAAAATCCTGCAAATTAAATATAAATAATTTTTAGTTGTGAAAATTAAAAATTAAAACCTAAGGCTTAGGTCTCCTATTGTAACCTGTGTGGGGGGCACGGTTGAAGGACTAGCTACCAAAACTGCCACTGATTGTAACCGTTTGCATTTATTATGTATCATGAGTGTTGGTACTTTTTATATAAATTTAGTCAAATTTTAAACTATTTGACTTCTCGAAAAGAGTTCAAATTGTTTGACTTCTCAAAAAGCGAGAACTGCTCTCTTTTGTGGACGAAGGGAGTACAAAGTTTTTAGATCACGTCGACTACTACAACTTTAGTATTGACCATGTCAACATTCGAGATCATTTGAAAACTTTAGAATTTGAATTCAAAATATGAGAATTGTAAATACATATTCAGGACCGTAGCAACTTCAAATAGAAAAAAAAAACTCAACTAGAAAGTTGTAGATCACATTAAGAAATACAACTTTGGTATTGACCATGTCAATGTTGATATTTCTTAGCATCGTTACTAAGAATGGAGTTTTAAGTCTACTCCTAGCAATGGCACCAGAAATCAGAGCAATTGGATCTTTGTTGTGCGGCTATTGAGTCATCTCCAACCTTGAGTTGTCTTCTTCCAACACGCGAGGTTCCAAAACTGAACCGTCCTTGCGAAGCGGTGTCACAGGGTCACCCTCATGCCTCTCATGCCCCTCCCTAATCCAAACGCTGTCCTCCTCCTAGTGCTCACCTCCTTCGCCTGACCGGTATGTCTCTCCTAATCTCTTTTCCTAAGGCCAAAGGAGATGTTTCCCCTCCGACAACCCCCATCCCGAACCCGAAGCCGTTGTCTAAGAAGAGCATTAATTTTAGGCACAAAGTACAGAAAATGTGAAAAAAAAAACTAGTGACCTTGGCGAACCATGCCGTGTGTGCATTGTCTAAGAAGAGCATTAACATGTCTATAGTCTCCTGCAGAAGCTTGGCCCTCAATGGATGGTGGCTCCATCAATTCAGAAACCTTATTCGACTCGATGAATCTTATCGTCATTTATCCTAAAATAACTATATATCTCACTTTTTAAAGTCAAAATTTTAAAATTAATTAAATATATAAAAGAATAGTATTTTTTATGATGTGTTACAAGTATCATTGGATTAATAGTGAAATGTATTTTCATAATAAACATATTAGAAGATATAAATGTTGGTAAAATTTCTATAAATTTAGTCCAACATAAAAACATTGACACCTCAAAAAAAACAAGATATGCAGTTTGCCCTACTACTTCAAATTGCTCCCATTTATGTCCACACTGCAAAATACAGTAAACACGTAAATGTTAGCCACTATCAGTATATTGGTTTGGCACTGCCTGCTGCTGTAATTGACCAGCAGGCCAATCCTAGTATTTTGATTTGCATCAGTAGCCTCGTTTTATTTTTGGTTAATAATGCAGAAAGCCATGGGACAATTTCATAAAGCTCAAGCGAACAGAGTGCTAGTTCTCCATCATTTCGGTCCTGAGAATTTTTTATTTTTTGGATCGGGTCAATCTCGTCCCACGTCCTATATGGCATGCCATGTTGCCACGCCTCATCAGCAAAGTCACCTAGGGCTTTATGCTGGACGGCGGAAGGCTGGTGCCTGACTCTGATTGCCATGGTTATTGGGCCTCGTCGCCTCCGCCCCTTCCTTGTTCGGACAGGCAAGTGCAGATGACAAGCCCATATATGCAGCCCATCCATGGTTGTTGGACTAGTGACCACCTTCTGGTGACTATATACTCCAGTATCAGTATCACACGATGAATTTGACAACATCCCCCTCATACAAATCCTGTAAAACTACAACACGAAACATCATTTCTGCAACACATGCCTCTGAATTTGAAACTGTGTCTGAATTTTTCTCGTTTTATTTATTCAGTGCTAAGGTTGAAGCTTGGCATGATCAAGAACTGATGACAGAACGCAAGTTTAGAGAGAGGAGGAAACTACGACAGTAGCAGCATTACATTTCTTAACTCTGATGATCAACTAGTAGTAGAGAGAGAAGCATTGAACCAACCGACCGTAACAACAGTTGTAAATAAAAGATAAGAAAAGAAAGAAAAGAAAGCGTAAGTGAACGCGAGCAAGTGAAGGGATCATCCATGGCGTCGTCGTCTGATCGCTGTTGGTTTTACATGTCGCGTCCCATCCCAGCAGAGGGCAAGAAAGTGTCGTCAAGCGGAGCACGTAGCAGCACAGCGATGGCGTCGGTGTGTGGTCAGCGGCGGCTCGTTTGTCCAGCTCAGCAGTTCATGTCGGTGGCCGAGGACCACGAGCGTGAGGAGCAGCCGATCTGGTCGAGGAACTTGGCGACGCGCGCGTGCTTGGCGGCCCACTGCTCGGCCATCTTCTCCTCCTTGAGCTGCGCGTCGCGGCGGAGCTCCGCCACCTTCCCCCGGTGGTCCCGCTCCACGCGCTCCGCGGCGGCCGCCTGCTCCAGCCGCATGGTGCGCATCTTGGCCTCGAACTCCTCCCACACCTCGCGCCGCCGCATCTCGCGCTCCATCTCCAGCTGCTGCTCCACGCGCTTCAGCCGCCACGCCACCTCCCGCCGGTGCGCGGCCCACGCGCGCTGCCCTTCCTCCAGCTCGCGGCAGCACTCGGCGAGTTCGGCCAGCGCCTGCCCCTCCACCACCGCCATGCCCGGATGCGGAGGCGGCGGCGCCTGGGGTGCGCCAACGCCGCCGCCGGCGGCGCCGTGCTGCTGCGACGGGCTCGGGAACCCGTACGCCGCGGCCGCCGCCTCGGCCGCGGCGCGCTCCGGCATCCACGGCGCGGGCGCGGGCGGGGCCACGGTGGCGGACGCGAGGCTGAGCGTCACGCACGGCGACGGCGGTCTGGGCGGCGGCGGCTGCGCGACGGCGGCCCCGGCGTTGGGCGACAGCCATGGCGGCATCACTGGCGTGGCCATGAGTAGCGTCGGCGGCGTTGCAGCGGCGACCTGCTGGTGGGGCCTCTCGCCGACGAGCTTCTCCGCGAAATTCTCGAGCAGCCACTCGTACCTGCCCCGCTCGTGCGGGCTGGGCTCCGGCGGCGGGCGTCGGCTGTCCCTGAGCTCCCGCTGCTGCTTCTCCTTGAACACCTCCCACCACTTGCCGAGGCGCTTGGCCGTGCGCCCGGGCACCTCGGCGGCGATCTTCTTCCACTTGTTGCCGTGCTTGGCCTGCAGGCGGATCACCAGGCGCTGCTCCTCCTCGGACAGCGAGCCCTTCTTGATCCCGGGGCGGAGGTAGTTCTTCCAGCGCTCCAGGCAGGACTTGGCGTCGCGGTCGAGGGCCACGTTCATGCGCTGCGACACCAGGTGCCACTCGCGCGGGCCGTACTGCCGGACGTACGCGCGCAGGACGGCGTCTTCCTCAGGCCGCCAGCGCTGTCGCTCCTTCATCTGCACAGGCCATCGCCCATCCCTCACCACCACACCTCATAATGCGCGCTGCTTGCGTTGCATTTGCATTTGCATTGCATCCATGGGATACATGTGTATATATATGTCCGACCGACCATGCGAAACCAAAAAAGATCAAATCTTCTTTAATTAGCACATTGCAAAAAAAGAACCAGGAACATCAAATTGTAAGCATGGATCATATATATTAGAAGTTACAAGTAAATCTTGAGCTCATCATCAGCAATGAAAAAGATAGAACAAGAGCAAACTGAAACTGAAATAAGTATGCTAGTAATAACTATCGCATAGGCCACAGATGTCTCGGACTCTCGGTCAGCATCTTGCTCCGTGAAGAACAGTGATTAGCATACCAGATGGGGAACAAAAGCAACCAGATCATGTAGATGATGCTTGTTCCCAGTGGTGGTTCGTTGCTCTAATTCATTGCATTGCAGCATCCATAACTACTGGTTTCAGGCTGTGGTGGCAAAGAAGGCAGGGAGAGGAGTAACTGTGGCCTGCAAAGCTCGGCCACTCGCCGCTGCTGCAGCTGCAGAGGCAGGCAATGCACGCTCCAGAAACAGCTCTAACAGTTGTTACTCACTCCATCATTACTCGAGTGACAGGATAATCTGCAACCGGCTCCAGGCAACATTTACACACTGCAACAACCTACTCCAGTATGACCAAAAGAAGTTAATTTCTCCAGTTTCTTGCTTCACCAATTAACCTACGACAGAGCAGACAGTAACTAAAGGCCCAAGATTAACCAATAGATTTTTACTGTAAAAGCTACTAGCTACTGTATTGCCCATCAACCTTCACCAACGTTAACCGAACTGCAGCTAGCTACTGAAGTGAAGAAGCTGAAGCAAGCATCATGGATTCATGGCCACGGACGCTGCAATCAATCAGCTCACCCACACACGCACACACACACATGGAGACAAAGGTGTGGGCACGGCGAGCAAGCACGCGCTGTTTTCTCGCGCGCTTGTCTAGTTTTCTGGAGCCGGGTGCCGTCGGCCGTTAACGTGGCGCTTGAACGAGGACGAAGCTAAATCTGCCGGAGTTAATGCCAACCTAATACTCGTACCCACAGGGAAAGCTAGAAGAGACCAAGGCGACGGAATGTGAGGCAAATCTGAATCGATGTGACGTTGATGACGCGCAGGACCAGCCCCTAATCCGCGCTTTGGCGCCATGCTAATATAATGCCCATCACATGTCTGGAGGAGGTTGTGGACGGGTGAGTGATTTGGCTGGTTGTAAAACTGTGAAAAGAGGATAGTACGAGACAGATAAAAGCAAGCAGATTTTGACGGAGAGGTGGTAGTGGTAGTGGTAGTGGTACCCTACACAATCATGGAATGGCCAAGTGGTGTTAAGGATTGGTTGGTTCTATGAAATCTACTACGTCTAATCAAGCATAACCATGATGATGAGGAAACAGAAGCCCAACAATGCTGACAGCAATGTGTCGAAGGCAGATCAGTGTGGTGGTGGTACTCTACGACGTACGGGTAGGATGGGACTTGGATCTGTGTAGGGCTGCTTGGAGTAAGCGCGTGTTTAGTTATCTAAATTTTAGAATTTAGGCTACTATAGCACTTTTATTTTTATTTGACAATTAGTGTTCAATCATAGATTAATTAGACTTAAAATATTCGTCTAGCAATTTTCAACCAAACTATGCAATTAGTTTTTTTTTCGTCTATATTTAATGCTCTATATACGTATCGCAAGATTCGATGTGATGAATACTATAGCACTTTTTAAGAATTTGGGGTTGAACTAAACAGCCGCTAATGGAGTGGACTGCTGGGTGTGAACTCATGTAGGAGTAGGCCGGACTAGGGAGTAGCAATTCTTTTTTTTCGATTTCCTCGTCATTTTGCAATCTTTGCCCGGTTCGTTTGGCTGAAGGTATATGATTTGTTGTAAAAAAAAAATAATTTTATTAGCTAAAAAAGTGCGACTTATCTATTCTTGTATACTCGTATGCAAGTGGTGAATATTCCAAAGGGAAGGCAGGCTGGGGAAATCAGTGCCGAGATGAGATCAATCATGAAGCAATCAAGCTAGAAATGATGGGAGAAGAAAACATGGCGTTCCCGGCGGCCGGGGAAGAATCTGAACAAGCTCAAGAGCCACGGAAAAGTTCTCCAACTCGTGTAATCTAATAGTATCTCATCTCATATTCTCATGGGAGATTAAGATGACACCAAACGACGATTCTGCCAAACAAAAATGAATTCAGAACCGCACATCAGTGTTCACACGAAGTTGCAGAAGAATTCACGAGGAGCTGGACCATCAATCAGTTCGCCGACACGCAGGAAATAAACAGACAAGAACTAAACTGACTAGGGGCCATTTTTTCTTTTGAATCAGCGACACAAAATCCCCTGCTCACGCGCACAAAAAAAGTGAAAACACACGAAATAAAGAAAGAAAAGAACAGGGAAAGAAAACAGGGGGCACGTCACATTCAGCGGCTGCAGTTTTGCCCACTTCCTAGGCCTTGTTTAGATTGAAAAAAATTTCAATCCGATGAATAGTACCACTTTCGTCTTATTTGGCAAACTTTGTCCAATCATAAACCAACTAGGCTCAAAAGATTCATCTCGTGATTTCCAACTAAACTGTGTAATTAGTTATTTTTTTTACCTACATTTAATGCTCCATGCAAACGTCCAAAAATTGATGTGATGGAGAGAGAGTGAAAAAACTTGGAACTTTGAAGGGAACTAAACAAGGCCCTAGTAGAATAGTAAGACCCGGAAACTGAGGAACAATCCTTGTCACAAATCAACATCTACCACAGTGTACTACGTAGGAGGGGCTGGTACAATCCCAATCCAAGAAGAGAACAGAAGACATACTACTACTACGACTCCCCAAGAATCCATCCAGGGATGAAGGTCAGGCTAAACCGAATAGCGAGCAAGCACAAGAACCGAACTTTACAAGAGCGCAAGCATTCAAGCAAACGGGACGATGGTACTACCAGTGAAACTAGCGAGCTAATACGATGAGGATAAACGAAGAGCTTTGGATTCGGATGCGAGAGGGCGGGCGTTCACTTACAGAGGCACGGCTACACCATCCTGGCAGAGTCCTTGGCCTCGCTCTCCTGGCCTGGCCTGAGGCAAGCAGGAGCGGCGGTTGGAAGAGAGAGAGAGGGAGGGGGAGCTCAAATAATTGCGAGGTTGAAGACGACGAGCTGGGGGAGGGGGGGATAGGGAGGTGTGAGCTGAAAGATTCCTTTCCAATACTTGCAGCTCGTCGTTTGACTCGTAGCTAGCTCAGCTTGTTTTAACTTTTTTTTTTTATGATTTGAGCTGGGAGTTGAGCAGGAAAGTCTAGCTCGCTATCCGGCCCTAAAGGTTGAGGGACAAGGCGCAGCGAGAAATTAGGGCACGCGGAAAGGAAAAGACCAAAGACCGGGTTAAGGATGCCCGGAAAAGGGGGCGCGCGTGTATATATAGCAGTAGAAGGAGCGGTGGAGAGGTAGAGAGAGAGAGCACAGACTAGTCGAAGGAAGCTACTATGGAGTGGTGGAGCAGCAGTGCAGGTGCAGCACGAGCAACAGTTGAAGGGCAGCACGCAGCATGGCAATGGCATGGCATGAACACCACACGAGAGAGGAGAGGAGAGGAGAGACGGGACACGGCTACGCCCACGCATGCAGCTCAGCTCGGCTGCAGCATGCACATGGAGATGGAGGAGCGTGCAGCTGCAGCAGGGCGGGTGCAGTGCAGTAACAGTGGCAGTAGTACGTGGTTGTGGGGGTGGGGCGCGGGTGCTTTCTTTGCTGCTTGCTGACTTCGCAGTACTGGCTGCCCCGGCTCTCTGAATGGCTGGGCACGCAGAGGCAGTGGGGGATGGATCATGGATGGAGAGAAAAGAGCAGAGAAGACTGTTGGAGAGGAGATGGAATGGGCAGGCCGCTCTGGCTGTGGGCAGCTCAAATCAACTTTTGACTTGAAAAAACACGCGAAAATCATGCAAACCGAGCTTCGTATGATCCGATCCAAGAGATTCCTTCCGTGCTCGTTCGTTCGTTCGAATCGGAGGCGGAGGGAAAACAAAGAGACACGAATAGACGATGGGATGGATGGATGGGAAATGAATGGCAGCAGCCCTGTCGGCCTGGGGCCGGCCGGCGCCCGGCGGTGGAAAAGGCGCCGTACGTCGTCGTCGCCGTCGCGTCTTGTCGTGGCAGCCAGCAGGGAGCAGCGAGCAGCGCGCGTGGAAAGCGACGAAAAGACGGGGAGGAGGGCTTCCTCGAGTCAAATCACGGCTGCATGGCCCATGCGGAGGTTAGAGATCGCTTTTACTGGTACTGCCCACGCCGAGTACCATGTCTATATCCAGCAGCTTTTCTACGGTGGGCTGTCACGTCGAATGTGAGAGAAATACTAATAAAAAAATAAATTACAACTGCTAGATAAATTTATTAAGTCTAATTAATCTGTTATTATCACATGTGTTACTAGCTGTAGCAATTTAGTGTTAAATTATGGACTAATTAGGTTTAAAAGATTCATCTCGCAAAGTAGTCGTAATCTGTGTAATTAGTTTTTTTTTTAGTCTATATTTAATACTCTATACATGTGTCAAATATTCGATGTGATAGGGTGTAAAGTTTTGACGGAGAAACTAAACAAAGGTTAAATCTCACTCTCCGGGTAATCATTCAGAGATTTACATAAAAATCGTTTTTTATATCTTTTCGCTCTCTAATAGTTTTTCTATATCTCGTGCGCACTCTAGAGAGCCATTCTAGTCTTTTATTTTTGGCTAGCGAAAAATTCAGAATAGAAGATAGCTATATTTGATAACCGTTTAGAAAAATTGTTAGAGGGTTGTTTTCACAAAAAACTATATTCCTAATATTTAGCATTTAGAAAGGATAATGACACTCTCTTAGGGTGCTCTTACTAGTACGGAGTATGGCTTCAGTCAAACTGATAAAATCACCGCAACAATCA